TTAGGCAGTGCCAAAGAAGGGCTTCAATCAGGTATCAAAAACTAAAAAAAATTAAATGTCATAACGGCGGTATCAACAACTTGCAGTATGCTAGTAAACCCATAAGATCGGGTTTTACTTTTGTGTATAAATACGCCTACGGATAGGTAGCATTCGTAGCAGGCACTTATTTTGCTCTATCTAATGATGCAGTTCTACATCCATGCATTTCAGGTGCTTAGGTACCATGGACCAATGGCCCTCTTAAATTGTTCCCTATGCGACTAGAAGAAAGGAGACGTTACTCACGACGTTTCAATCCGGTATCAAAAATTGTAAGGGATAAAATTTAGAGAATTTTAGATAGTTTATATCTTGGACTATCAAATAAATGATCCATTTTGCGCCTCTTCGATTGTCACGGCCAAGGTTTGCAGCATCACACTGAGAGGAGTATCAGGTTTTCAGTTCTAACTCAAGATAAAGTACGAGGGCAATAGTTCTGACCTATGTGGCCTGACGTTTCAGACGGTGGTTCGCGTTATTTATTTCAATGTTCATTCAGAGAAGAGCAAACACCCAGAATAAACGCCTGAAAGAAAGAATACATAGACCGAAACGTTATTAGCGTTCCTAACCGGTTAGGATTCGACGGTCACTTATGTTGCATTAAGTTAATATAGAATAAGAGCCGAGATTAGCTGCAATTTATCATAATTCTTATCTTCCAGTTATTTGCATGTCCTAAAATTTGACATTTACTTTTTCTTAGCAACATGCAGTCAGTGTAATCACGGGAGCCTTAGTTAAATACAAAATCTGTGGATGACCCATCAGATTTAATTTATGGTTTATGCCCTGTATTAATGCTCAATTAGCTATTCAGCTGAACAAGGCGAACTGTAGCCGTGATGCATACAAACTATGCAGCGTAGACTAGGTTTCGAACAGTCTAACATTGTCAAACGAGGCAACCGTGCTGTTGGCATTGTTTGGAGGTCCAAGAAAAATGCTATCTGATGTCCAAGATGAAAATAAGACCTCAAAACACATTAAGGTGAATTTCTTACTGAAAG